ATCGTTATATTGTATACTTATTCTGGGCTGTGTAAGGCTATGGGCCCCACTATAAGTCAGTTCAGTGCGAGCCATTCCTACTGAGAGAGAGAGAGAGAGAGAGAGAGAGAGAGAGAGAGAGAGAGTGTGTGTGTGTGTGTGTGTGTGTGTGTGTGTGTGTGTGTGTGTGTGTGTGTGTGTGTTTTCCTCGTGTGAGTGAGTGAGTGTCTTGGGCACTAAACCTACAGCCAATTCTAACGTAACATAATCTAACCTAACCTAACGTAACCTCACGTAATATAATCTAACCTAACTTACTAACCAAATCAAACCTATCCTAACATATTCTCACCTTACCTAAGCAACCTAACGCTATAAATCTTGCATAACGTAACGTAACAAATCTAACGTAACGTAACGTAACCTAACCTAACTTACTAACCAAACCAAACTTAACAGCCAATCCAATATTAATATATCCAGTCACGTTAATTTTAATTAAGTCAACAATTAAGTAAACATCAAAGTCAATATAAGTCATCATCTAAGACTCTTAAGTAAGTCAACATTTAAGTAAGTCAACATCTAAGTAAGTCAACATCTAAGTAAGTCAACATCTAAGTAAGTCAACATTTAAGTAAGTCAACATCTAAGTAAGTCAACATTTAAGTAAGTTTAAGTAAGTCAACATTTAAGTAAGTCAACATTTAAGTAAGTCAACATCTAAGTAAGTCAACATCAAAGTAAGTCAACATGGAATAAAAACAGATTGTAAAACATGGTTTGAGAGAGAAGGAGATCGATCGTTCATGAATAAGCAAGAGCATAACCCGGAGACCAGCACGAGAGAGAGAGAGAGAGAGAGAGAGAGAGAGACCACTAAGAACAGCAAATGGGGAGGAAAAGGAGGAGGGGGGGGGAAATGGGGGTGAAGGTAGCATAGGGAGTACCCGTGAATTTTACATGGGGAGACGAACCTTCCCTATTTTGTGCCTCTCCCTCAATTGCGTACACTCCCCACCCATTATACGGTATATACCCCCATGATACCTCCTCCCCCCCCCCATGATGTCTTCCCCATTATACACCCCATGAAGCGTTCCCCATTTGTTTACCTTTTCGGGGGGTATCATTTATCCCCATTATTTCGTTTATGTTGCCTCCTCACTCACATACAACATACCCATTACACCCCCATTACTGTTAGTGGTGTATAGAGTATGTTGCTCCACTCACTCTCACTCACTACTCGCCACCCTCATAGTACTGAGGGACCACTCACTCACTCACTCACTCACACTCCCTAACCACTCAGACACGGAGTGATTCGCACCAGACCTTCAAGATCCAAACGTCAATATTACTGACAGCAAGAGGGAGGAAAGTGTTGGAATTCCTCCTTGGATTATACCGATGACTTACGATAAATCACCTTCACGTTCTTGGTAGCTAAATAAGACACTGAATTAAATGATCTACAGGACTTGTAACTCTTCTTCCTCCTTCCTTCCTTCCTTCCTTCCTTCCTCCTCCTCCTTCTTATTTTTGTATTTGATATGTAATAAACTAATCCAATTCTCGCACAATAGAAAATGAACTTACATGAAGCAATTGGTCAGGTGTGTGTGTTGGTCAGGTGTGTGTGTTGGTCAGGTGTGTGTTGGTCAGGTGTGTGTTGGTCAGGTGGGTGTGTTGGTCAGGTGTGTGTGTTGGTCAGGTGGGTGTTGGTCAGGTGGGTGTGTGTGTGTTGCAACTTCTATTTAAAAACATTATCACTCTCCTCTCATCGTACAGTATAGTATTCAAGCCATGAAATGGTTTGTAGTAGGTTGTGTTGCAAATTCCTTCCCAGACCAGACCAGTGTTTTATTTTCTCACAGTAAATAAACAATGAATTAAATGATTTATGAGCACAAGACCTTACCAGCAGATTAACTAACACTTAGATATCATTTTCAACTAATTTCCCCAACTAGATCACAGATTATAATATATATAGTTTATTCTTTCAATATACTGAGTTACAACACCTGATCCTGCGGCAACACACACACACACACACACACACACACACACACACACACACACACACACACTCCATCACCTGATTTCAACATTAATTTGAAGATTAAACCCCAATACGAGTTTATTTAGTTAATGTTTTTTTTAAAGATTCTTCAACTCCTGCCAAAGTGAAATCAAATTCATATTGATATTGAAAATTCTGTCGAGTGTTTTTTTTTAACAGGTGATGTTGGGTGTGTGGAGCGACACAGGTAAAACTGGTATATATTTGGGGGCCTTGTTGTGGAACGGGGAACACATCTGTTACACCAGAACACCATGGTAGAACACATCTGTTACACCAGAACACCATGGTAGAACACATGTTACACCAGGGGAACACCATGGTAGAACACATCTGTTACACCAGGGGAACACCATGGTAGAACACATTTGTTACACCAGAACACCATAGCAAAACACCAGAACACCATAGCAGAACACATCCACACCATGGTAGACACACATGTTTACACCATAGGAACACATGGAACACCATGGTAGAACACATCTGTTACACCAGGGGAACACCATGGTAGAACACATTGTTACACCAGAACACCATAGCAGAACACATCTGTTACACCAGAACACCATAGCAGAACACATCTGTTACACCAGAACACCATAGCAAACCACATCTGTTACACCAGGGGAACACCATGGTAGAACACATCTGTTACACCGAACACCATAGCAGAACACATGTGTTACACCAGAACACCATAGCAGAACACATCTGTTACACCAGAACACTATAGCAGAACACATCTGTTACACCAGGGAAACACCGTACAAAAACACATGTTACAGCAGTGTGAGTGAATGAAAGATAGACAGACAGAAAAACAGACAGCGAAATGACGGGAAAGTACAGTGTTTGTTCATGCTTCAGACCATCAGCCACTTGAGTACTGCAGAGACATGATGACAGGGCGGGAAAAAAATAAACAAAATAAAAAATCATATATTTCACAATATACTGAATAATGTATTCCAGTCACCCACACCTAATGAATAATCTACTTCAGTCACCCACACACCTAATGAATAATCTACTTCAGTCACCCACACCTTATGAATAATCTACCTCGGTCACCCACACCTAATGAATAATCTACCTCAGTCACCCACACACCTAATGAATAATCTACTTCAGTCACCCACACCTAATGAATAATCTACTTCAGTCACCCACACACCTAATGAATAATCTACCTCAGTCACCCACACCTAATGAATAACCTCAGTCCACCCCTAATGAATAATCTACCTCAGTCACCCACACACAATAATCACCTCAGTCACCCACACACCTAATGAATAATCTACCTCAGTCACCCACACACCTAATGAATAATCTACCTCAGTCACCCACACACCTAATGAATAATCTACCTCAGTCTACCTCAGTCACTAATGAATAATCACACCCACACCTAATGAATAATCTACCTCAGTCACCCACACACCTAATGAATAATCTACCTCAGTCACCCACACCTAATGAATAATCTACCTCAGTCACCCACACCTAATGAATAAAATCTCCCTCAGTCACCCACACCCTAATGAATAATCTACCTCAGTCACCCACACACACTAATGAATAATCTACCTCAGTCACCCACACACCTAATGAATAATCTACTTCAGTCACCCACACTAATAATAATAAATCTACCTCAGTCACCCACACACCTAATGAATAATCTACCTCAGTCACCCACACACCTAATGAATAATCTACCTCAGTCACCCACACACCTAATAAATAATCTACCTCAGTCACCCACACACCTAATGAATAATCTACCTCAGTCACCCACACACCTAATGAATAATCTACCCGTGTCACTTCGGTTCCCTTCCTAGTTTCATCTCTGTATGTATGTATGTATGTATGTATGTATGTATGTATGTATGTATGTATGTATGTATGTATGTATGTATGTATGTATGTATGTATGTATATGTATGTATGTTTACCTTTCAGTTTTCCACTATGAGAGACCCGCTATTTGCCTCGGGTTAACGTGGTCACATAACCGTACCAAACTACGTCTTACTTCCTCCTACTGTGCAAATTTGTCTGAACCCACAACTCGTCTATATCGCCGACAGACACACCGACGGAGACAAAGACGAATAGAAAGACACCGACGGAAACAAAGACGCTGACACAAATACCGACAGAGACAAAGACGACAAAACACACCGACGGAAGCAAAGACGCCGACAGAAACCCCGACGCCGATAGAAATACCGATGAAGACAAAGACGCCGACAGAAACGAGAGAAAAAGACGCCAACAAAAACGCCGACGGAGAAAATGACACACAGAAACACCGACAGAGACAAAGACGCCGACAAAAACACTGACAGAGACAGACACGAATAAAGACACCAACAGACACAGAAACAAGGACACCGACAGACACCAAGAGACAGAGACAGACAGAAACACCGACAGAGACAGTACAGATGCACCGACGAAAACAAAGACACACACATAGAAAGACCGACAGAGACAGAAACAAGGACACCGACAGACACATCTACAGAGACAGACACACACAGAAACAAGGACACCGACAGACACACACACAAAAATAAGGACACCGACAGACACACACACACAGAAATAAGGACACCGACACACACACACAGAAAAAAAGACACCGACAGACACACACACAGAAATAAGGACACCGACAGACACACACACACAGAAATAAGGACACCGACAGACACACACACACAGAAATAAGGACACCGACAGACACACAAAGACACCGACAGAGACAAAGACGCCAACATCAGACACCATCGAGACAAAACGTGAAGGCGGCCACAGACAACAACAAGAGCTCCCCCTGTTTATCCAATTCTCAGAGGCCGACCCTCAAGTGAACCCCCATGTGTGGTGTAGCAAAACTTGAATGTGCTTAATTAAGTGAGGGTCGTGGACGAGACAACCACGAGGACAAGACTACAGGACAAGCACGAGGACAAGACTACAGGACAACCACGAGGACAAGACTACAGAACAACCACGAGGACAAGACTACAGGACAACCACGAGGACGGGACTACAGGACAACCACGAGGACGAGACTACAGGACAACCACGAGGACGAGACTACAGGACAACCACGACGAGACCAGGACAACCACGAGACTACAGGACAACTACAGGACAACCACGAGGACGAGACCACAACCACGAGGACAAGACTACAGAACAACCACGAGGACGAGACTACAGGACAACCACGAGGACAAGACTACAGGACAACCACGAGGACAAGACTACAGGACAACCACGAGGACAAGACTACAGGACAACCACGAGGACAGACTACAGGACAACCACGGGACGAGACTACAGGACAACCACGAGGACGAGACTACAGGGACAACCACGAGGACGAGACTACAGGACAGGATGACGAGGACAAGACTACAGGACAACCACGAGGACGGACTACAGGACAACCACGAGGACGAGACTACAGGACAACCACGAGGACAAGACTACAGGACAACCACGAGGGACGGGACTGGGACAACCACGAGGACGAGACTACAGGACAACCACGAGGACAGACTACAGGACAGGATGACGAGGACAGGACTAGGACAAGACAGACTACAGGACAACCACGAGGACGAGACTACAGGACAACCACGAGGACGAGACTACAGGACAACCACGAGGACAAGACTATAGGACACCACGAGGACGGGACTGGGACAACCACGAGGGACGGGACTACAGGACAACCACGAGGACGGGACTACAGGACAACCACGAGGACGAGACACAGGACAACCACGAGGACGGGGACTACAGGACAACCACGAGGACAAGACTACAGGACAACCACGAGGACGAGACTACAGAACAACCAAGGACACGGACAAGGACTACAGGGACAAGACTACAGGACAACCACGAGGACGAGACTACAGAACAACCACGAGGACAAGACTACAGGACACAGGACGACGAGGACAGACTACAGGACAACCACGACAAGGGGACAACGAGGACAGACTAGGACAGGAGGACACACCACGAGGACAAGACTACAGGAGGACAAGACTACACAACCACGAGGACAAGACTACAGGACAACCACGAGGACAAGACTAGGACAGGACAACCACGAGGACAAGACTACAGGACAACCACGAGGACAACCACGAGGACAAGACTACGAGGACAAGACTACAGGACAACCACGAGGGCAAGACTACAGGACAACCACGAGGGCAGTACAGGATGACGAGGACGACAACTAGGGCAGTACAGGATGACGAGGACGACAACTAGGGCAGTACAGGATGACGAGGGCAGGACGACAAGAACAACGAGGACAGCACAGGACAACGAAGATGACAACGAGAACGGCACATGAAGACGAGGACAACCACGAGGACAACTCACGAGAACAGCGAGCACACTTAGTCTCCACACCAGACAGTCGCTTGCAATAAATATGTTACTGTACCAAATTTCAGATCCAGCTGTATAAAGAAAGGAGAAACGCCCCAGGGTCCGGATACACAAAACCGGACTCACAAAAAAACTCTCTAAAATCGATTCACAAAACCGGATAAAAAACAACACTAAACTGGACTCACAAAACCGGATTAAAGACACCACTCACAAAACCGGATTAAAACACCAGACTCGCTAAACCGGACTCAACATTTTCCAAGGATAAATCATTCCTGGTAACCGGACACTTCAGAACGCACCTAACACTATACTAAGACTTATTTATATATAACGCCATATAATCGTTATCAGCCTTTAGTCCGTAATATAAACACGGAGATGTCTTCCCAAACGACTCCCTGCCTATCTATCTACAGTACATCTATCTATGTCTATCTATCTATCTATATACTCTCTCTCTCTCTCTCTCTCTTCTTCCACCTCACCCCACCCTCCTTGCCACACCTACCTTCCCTCCCTCCTCCCCCCCGTAGTATACCAGTATGACGGTGCTACCTTCATTACTTCATACAGTATGATTTGTGGCTATTGTATGAGTGTCAAGGGAGGACAGGCTCCACAATAACCAGACGGATGATACTGCCCCTCACCATGTATCATCCACACCCCACTCCCGCCAACAATCATACTCCTTTGTGACACATAGGAATATTTTTTTTTCTCTCTCTCTCTCTCTCAACATGTCTACGTTAAGGCCACCACCTGTATGATACCGTCACCATTATGGGAGTTACTACACCTGTGCTTTGTGATGGTGCCATGAATTATCTAACACATTCACTGCCCTACATTAAGAGACCAATGTTTTTTTTGTTTCTTTAATCTCTATTACTCGTTCAAAGAAAATAGTACAGGGGCCCATAAAAGTACAGATACAAATACAAAATACAAGCAACAGATCCCAAAGTTATGAAAGATATATCCATCATCCACATCCTATTCAATGACATGAAGTTTCATTTAACTAAACGTATGCGAACCTAATGTGACCTAACTTAATCTACCCTGACCTAACCCAACCCAAATAAAAAAAATCTAACTGTCCATTGGAAAAAGAAAAATTAATCTACCGACAATCAGTTTCAGTTAAATGAATATATCAGAAAGTAACGATGGAAGCAATAGGGATCATCGAGAATTCATCCCCCCCCCCCTACTGGAGTCCTAAAGGTAGTCCTCCACAAAAGAGACGGGGGTGTCAGGATTTCTGGTGTTTATAGGAGGGTCAACGCCATCACTAAGATAGATGCTGAACCCATGTGCGATCACCAAGGTTGGCTAGTTCCACGATTTTTACCAAATTTCGTCTGACCAAGTTTTTTTTAAGTCCTTTTAGACCCCAAGAGCAGGCAGATCACAGCCTTTGGTACGCCAGGGGGGGGAGGGGGGTTCCCTTCGGCATCACCAACTCTCCCCCCCCCACCATTTTCAACCGTGTCATGAGGCAAGTCCTACAAAGCATCAAGGAAGTTGAGGCATTTGTAGACGATGTGTTAATCCAATCGGCCACATTTGAGGAGCACCTGGAACTCCTAGAGGAGGTGTTCCGGAGGTTCCAACAAAGAAACATGACCGTGAAGCCAAGCAAGTGCGAGATCGGTCAGGCAGCAGTACAGTTCCTCGGACACACTGTCGGTGGGGAACGCTGCAGCTGTCAAAATGCAAAATATCAAGAGGGTCCAAGATGCACCACGACCCACTACCACAAAGCAAGTGAGGTCGTTTCTAGGTCTCCCAGGGGACTAATAAAACTTTATTCCAAACTTTGCTGTGGTGGGTGCCCGAACAAGGTACATTGTGAACCTGAACTAGAGGATTCATTCAACGCCATGAAGAACCTGCTGTGCAAGTAACCTATCCTTCAAATGGTAATGATGAACAAGACTTTCATGCATCAGTGGAGGAATTAAGGCTCTGATAAGCCAACCCATAGTAGTGTAATTAAATGTGAGTCTCCACGTTGACAAACTCCCTCTTTATAACATTACTTGTATTGCGCTGTAAATGTGAGTGAATGACTCATATGTCCATGCAAATTGCAAATTAGTATATGGAACTTTGCCAAATAAATATATGTGCAATTATCAGTCCGTATGTGATCCCTATTTTACTAAAGTTAATGACAGATTGGTTAAAGTATAACCAGTAACCGAGATGGATGTTGGAATTAATGGACTTCACTAAATCATCATTTATCAAGTATTCAACACACTGAATGCCGGGAAGTGGTGAAAAACTCTTATGCTAATGATACACTCTACGGTAAGACACAAATATAAAAATCCCGTGAGTAAGATTTTCGTTTTTATTGATTGCGATTAAGATTACGTAAACCGAGCATCAATATCTGGTTCCTGTGATTTTTCTTGATTATATTACGATTGTGATTATACTGATTTCTATACATTCAATTAGCATTGCAATTTCTGTGGATTCCAATTACATTCGTGATTTCAGCTACATGAAATTAAAAGTTAACTATATGGCATCTACATAATAAGAATAAACTAAAAAAATCAGCTTTGACTCGAACACTGCCTCGGCTCGGGGTAGAAGGGCATGAAGGACCTTTGGTGGTGGAGAGACAACTGAGGCATCATTAGTAGCCTGCTGGTCACATGGTTACAGATTACATTAGTCACATGGCGCCAAGTTGACATGACAGATTATTCAAAGTGGCGGGAAAAATTTAAATGTCCATTGACATGTACTGAAATCCTGTCAGTAAAACGAATATTAAATATAATTCACTTGTAATCACATTTTAATCCGAAGCTAAGACGATTTTGGGGTGGATTACGATTACAAATTAAAGAATAAGCAAGATTATGATAATTATATGATTACAGGTTTTTGAAAATGTTGGCTTATGATTAGATTACGATTATATAGATATGAATTACTTATAAATTAAGGCTGCAGGAATATGATTATAGCCAGCCTCATGTCTGGACTCTGTAATGCAAACCATATAAGAACAACTTGTACCTCCTCTGTATATTCACATAAGAAACGCAAGTGCAGTACAATATATATGTATATAAAGTACTCTTCCTTTAGCTTATAACAGAGCAGCACTACTAAAACGTGTCTAGATTAATGCACTACATTTGTTCATTTATTCACTCAGATTACAGTACAGCTACAGGTATAAACTCGAGTAAAGGTTAATGATATTTCAACACGATCACAAAGCTACGCATTATCCACACCTCACTGTAGTCACGAATGATGTTTTATGGTGTCTAGGTTAGTGTCTCCTTTATGATACAGCTGTCGTCGTTATGGATTTTACTGTACCTGTAATACATACCGTGGGGGATAACTGTACCTATACTTCGACATCATATATAAATATAGACAATAAACATACAGATACAGTTACAAACACACATACACTTTACTGGTATACAAACATTGACAGAGACAAAAAGTAAATACGGATGTAAAGATAAATTTAATCACAAACACAGGTGCTTCTCCTATTTCGAATAAAACGTATACAATTATTTAAAAACACTAACACGAGCATGTATCACACCAGCCCACTGTTGTCAAGACCTGGAGTAATAAATAAGGTAGAGCAGGAGAGTTCTAGTTTCCCCTGTAGTTGTGGTAACAGTGGCCAGGCTGAAAGAGTATGTAGTGGGAGGTGTCCAGGTTACTAGTGTTAAATTATCCATTTTATTTTTTTTACTGTAGACTGTATTAACAAACTAACTTCCTAAACACATACACACAGAGACTTCACTTTCTGTATTTAACGTTCATGCTTTCCAAACTCATGGACGCCTCCCTGCCTGGTATTCTTCGTAACTGCTCCACAAGACTTCTTGAAACTAAGTGCAGAAGCCATATACAAGATCAATCTCCGACCCCTCTTATACTACCTACCAATAGGCGCTCATGACACTGGCCCTCTCAGCTCTCTCTAACCATCATCATGACTACATCCGTTGGTCTCAGAATAAACTAATGCACTACCCTAGCTGCCGCCACCGCCACCTCCAGCCACTTGAAGTGACACGCCTTAAAGAGTTCCAATTCGACACCAAAACCACATCATGCCCATACGTGTTCACACAGACTGCTTCGAGAACAGTAACATTCTACTCATTGTAAAAATAATCAATATAACTCAGAAGGATTATGTTCAACCTCCCCTCCCTCACCCACTTCACACCTTGATATTAATTTTACAAGTACAGTACTTCCTTTTTTTTGTAGATTTTCAGTTTTAAAATATTGTTCTATCTAAATTAACCATTATAGCATTATTAACATTCCCATTAACATAAAAATTTAACGCAAGTAAATTTTATCACCCTGTCAAATTCGTATTAACATCTCCTTCTCGACAATGACTTACACCAGGACAGAACCGTCAGCACACACACCAAATATACCACAGATATCAACAGTTATTTCCCTACACGGTTTACTTTGTTTTTCTTGTTCTTGGTCAACTCCTGCTTCCCCAAGCGTTGGAATAGGTACTGTATGTACTTCGATATATATAATTCCTCTACTTTCACGAACAAAACAGAAGAATATCAACAACTCAACACTCACCATGCAGGGAGCCGTCACTACAAACACCTTCATGCGGTCCTTACCTGTGGGAGAAACAAAAATAATTATTACACATGTATCAATAAAACTTTAAATAATGCTAAGAGACAAATTTAGTATTAATAGACAACCTGCGAGAATGACAAGTGATACATTGGTAAAAAAGGGGAGGGCGGGGGGGGGGGATACAGGTTTAATTCTCAGGTTA